CCCACAATGCAACTCGGCACGGTTTGCGCAGTTGTCGGAGCGTTGGGGCAAATCCGAGAGTCGAAAGTAGCTTTAGCCTTTAGACATTGAATGACTTTGTACCCGTCGCCGTGAAGAAAGTTGTGTGCTGGACCGATCGGGATTGACGCCGGAGCTAATGGAGGCCCTCATACCTGTAATAAACAAACTACAAGATGTATTTAACACAGTCGGTGCGGATATAATCCAACTGCCTCAGATTGTTGTCGTCGGCACCCAGGTGAGGAACGTCACTGACTGAAGCTAGCAAGCTCGTTAGCTGCTTGGACTCATTGTTGTGGCTGTTTTTCTTCTTGTCTTTACGGTTTTACTTTCATTTTAATGCTGATGCTATTCTCATACTGTCTGTGTTGATTCTTCTTTTAAGTTTATTTCTCATTTTATTTAAATTATTACCACTGCATCAAAGTTAGCATTAGCAGCTGATAAACTTAGGAAAAAGCTGTCGGAAACATTTTTCCACATAGACGTAATTTTTATTAGTATTTAAAATCAAATGTTGTTTTTCCTCTAACTTAAACTCATGTTAAAACGTGGTTTGACCTCTGATTAAAAAAAAATCCACATTGTTCCCAGTTGAGCTACATTTAGTTTCTTAGGTTGATCAAGATAAAATCAAATGTAGTTTAGCACTTTAGCTGTACAGTTTGTTTGTACACTTTTCCTCTGAATTCATTTTAGTGTGACAGACTGCTGCTGTCGTTTTCAAAGTTAGGGTTCGAGGTCCCACTGTGGGTCGTGAAACACCCAGCTGTGGGTCATGATCTCCACAAATTTAAAAATGATTGCTAACTGCACAGTTGTACTATAACTATTATAAGAGAGAATAACTAGCTATAAATCTATAAAATGACTGCTGAGACGATTTGTTAGTTAATAGATTTGTTTAGCCATGATAATTTACTTCAACCAGCAGGAGTTGGAGTTGCATGTTTCTTGTTTTATGAATTGGACACTGTAAAACATATTGGTTTTAAGGTGGAGATCACAGTGATGAGTAAGGTAGCTACAACCAGTAATAAATCTTAATGCACAGTGATACACTGGATTCAATGACTGTAGACAAATAAACAACATCGCCATAGTCAAGTACTGGCAAAAAAGTAGCCGTGATCAAAGCTTCCTTGCTCTAAGGGAGAAACATGATTTGTTTCTAAAGAAGAACCCGAGCTTCACCCTTAATTTGGAGATTAGGTGTTTCACATGAGATTAAAAAAAAAGTTCCTCGTCGATTATTAAGCCCAGGTATTTATAACAGGAGACCCTCTCGAGAACTTTACCTTGGGTAGTTTTTATTAGAGGGGTATTCTTCAATGGGACAGATAAATTTGAAAAAAACAACATTATTTTAGATTTATCAGCATTTAAGACCAATTTTAGTTGCTCAAGACGAATCTGCACCTCATCAAAAGCAGCCTGTAAGAATTTAAGTGCCTGATCAATTGAATTTGAACAACAGTAAATTACACAATCATCAGCATAAAAGTGGAAGGAGGCATTTTGCAAATTTTCACACAGTGCAGTCATGTAAATTGTAAATAAGATGGGCCCCAAGACAGAGCCCTGGGGTACGCCCTTTTTTACTTTAAGAAAACTTGAGCTTACTCCAGCCATCTGTACACACTGTGTCCTATTTGCCAAACAATTTCCAAACCAGTAAGATGCTTCTTTGGAGATGCCCAGTTTGAGAAGAATTTTTACCAGGATAGTGTGATCCACCGCATCAAATACCTTGGATAGATCAATAAACAGAGCACAGCAAACCTAGCCCACTGTCTCAAAAGTCAAAGAGATGAAATATGATACAGTATCTCAAAAACCTATAAGTCTTGTGAACCAGTGAACCGCACCACAAACTATTATTGATTAGAAAGTCTAGTCCCATCCGTACACGAGAGCCTAATTGGTTTAAAGTGACAGGTTTTGTCTCCAAGGTTTACCTTCACTGCTCAGCTAATAGGATGTGACTCTGACATTTTGGCCAGTGTCCCAGGTAGCTAGAGTGAGACAAGGCAAGTCCAAGCAAATTTAAACACCTAAATTGTTGCTGTTGCCCTTATCAATGTATTGCAAATGCAATATTGATTGTTGGTTAATTTAATCTTGTTCAAAACAAAAGTATCTTGACTGCTACTGTCGTGTTTTTAGCCCTCAGTCTATAAAGGAAATAATTACTGGTTGATCTAAGAGAAATCTTTCAGGTATTTCTGTTCAACGATTTTAAAGTGACTGAACTCTGATCACAAACACCCTGATTTATTTGTCTTCAATGTTATCTAGTGCTGCTTACCTGTTAAGAGTACTGTCAACTTTGCCTTATACTTAATCCATCTCAAAGTACAACGTCATAGCTGTTATGACGTTGTACTTTGAGATGGATTAAAAATGAATAAGGCAAAGTTGACTGTTATGACATAACAGTGGATCCTGTGAGAATCCAGCTGTGACAGAAGCAAAATTAGGAGTCTTCATACCTTTGTGCAGACGCAGCTGTAGTCTCTTGGTAGAAATGATCTTAGAATGATCAGTGCCAGCGTGTTTTTGTCTGTATTTGTATGTTGATCAGACAGTATAGAATGATTTATGAACACCACATGTTTTTGTTTATGGCGCGTTGTTTTTTTCTGTACAGAGCAGCGGGAAGAGTTCTGTTTTAGAGAGCCTGGTCGGGAGGGACATCCTTCCACGTGGTACTGGCATCGTCACTCGCCGGCCCCTCATCCTGCAGCTGGTGCACATCGACCCGGATGACCGCAGGAAAACCAATGAAGAGAACGGTACCAGAGCTGTCACGTCTCACTTTTTATTTGTTAAGCAGTTTGTTTTTTTTAGGAAAAAAACCTTGGAATTGTTTAAAAATTAAGTGTTTCCTAAAATGAAATTATTTGATGATCTGCGTTTAAAATATTGATTCATATCTTGTCGTTGCATTGCTGACTGACCAGTCACAGATTTTTGCTGATTTGCTACTCCAGTACTAAATGCATGGCTTTACACTTGAATTATGTAAAATAAGCTTTTTAAACAGAATTTTACTGTTGTTAATGAAAACAAAACATAATTCTACAGGCTCATAACAAATCTTCACAGGACCTTGTAGTGATGATGGATAACATTTGATCTTTTTGTCTCTGATGGTCCTCGGTGAATAAAGCAGAGCCGCTCAGATCTGCCTGTATCTAACTCTAACCCTCAGTGATGTGCATTCCTGCACTTTATTGCAAAGACCACAGATAGTCTAACCCTTGTTCTTCTGTCATCTCTTTTAAACACAGGACCTAAGAAAAATGGGCATCTTTACAAAGGTCTTCTTTTCCTTTTTCCTTCTTTGTCATCTGTTTTTAAATTGCACATCCTCACAAACTGCTCCTTACTTACTGAGATCATTTGCCCCTTCAGCCCCATGCTGCCTTGTATTGTTGTGACTGTTTAAAGCTACAACAATCAGGTGGCTGCTTGCACTCAGCTCAGACTGGTCTCTGTCAGTTGAAATATGGAAAGGGGAATATTGTTTTCAGTTTCATTTGAACTGCATCAATTGATTAGTTCAACTATTCCAGTTTTGCCTAAAACAAGCCTCTCAAATACCAGCTTCCTCTCAGTGACTGACAGACTCCACTCTGGTAAAGTTGTGCTTTAATGTTGATTTTTGTGGCTAAAATAATTACTTCATCCTTGAATCTCCGTCAACCTCCCAAATGGCTGTT